AAATCTTTTTACTATATATTTGCTATCTTTTACTAGGATTAATGATTAATGGTCGTAGTAAATTTTTTTTTTCTACTAGTTGTATCTCAGCTCCCAAGCACTTGCAACTCTCCACATAATTAATTAACAATTTATTTATTTATGTTCTAGAATAAAGAGGGACAAGCTCTAACCTAATATTGTCATATGGAAGATCCAATGTATGTTTCTTGTCTTGTATTATTATTGCAAGAAAACAATTGAATGGGAGAGCGAGATCAAATAGCATACAAGCCAGACAACAAGTGGGGAGGGAGATTCAAGAAGTCATCAAACAGGTCATATAATAAATAATATATATATATATAATATATATATATATATATATATATAATATATATATATATATATATATATATATATATATATATATATATATATATATATATATATATATATATTTTTTTTTATATATATATAAATATTCAAGTGTTCTGAAGTCTCTGTCAGCATACCAAACACAGATTTTCGAACAGATCTTTCAATAAATGTTGGCTGCGGACCAGATCATCAATAAAAACTAGCCATGTAAATTATTTCAAGAATTCCTACTTTCTCTTAAAGAGAGGGTGTGATGTGACTCTTTAGTGTGTGCGTGTGTGTGTGTGTGTGTTTATCAAAATTTGGGTGATTACACACACAAAACCCTAATAAATTCTGCTGAGAAAAAAAGGGACTTGACTTGATTCAATGCTTTCTAGGGTTTCGTAATATCTTTCCAAAAAAGGGTTTTTTTTTCTTTTTTTATTTTGATTTTTTTTTAATTTCACCTTTTCAGATCTATCAATTGGTTCTGAGGTTTTTATGGATATGGGTGAAAGAATAGAGAGAGAGAGGAGAGAGAGTAAAGAGTTGACAGAAGAGAGTGAGCACAGGCAGGTAATTGTATAGAAAAGACTATACCTTTGTTTTATGCGTGTGCTCACTTCTCTTTTGTCAGTTTCTCTCTCTCTCTCTCTCTCTCTCTCTCTCTATAATTTTCTTTTTTTTTTTTTCCTTTTTCTGGTTTTATTTTATGCTTTTTCTTTACATTTAAGAATTATTCATCAAAAAGGTCAAATTAAGTAAAACCAAGTAACACTGCACTGTCTTTCACACACACTGTCCTGTTTCTGTGTGTGTGTTTTTTCTTTTTCTTTTTTTTATTTTTATTTTTTTTTACTATTTTTTTATTTTTTAAATTATGTTGAATTAAGGTGTATTATTGGGTGAAGGAGGAGGGTTGAATTCATGTTTAGTTGCAGATCAAGAACCATTTTTTTCTTCTACATATTCATTACAGGTTTCTTGTTTCTTGATCTGAGTTTTGCTTATGCCGGGGCATTTGTTTTTTTCTATGTATTTTTTTAATTATTATTAATCATTTCTACCTTGTACTATATATATAACATAAATCGCACAATCATTTTTTTTTTTTTTTATGTCTTTTGATGTTGCTTTTGAAGAGGACGGTGTTGCTCTTCACTGTTCTGATTTTACAAAATTTAGGTCAATATTATTTCTTCTCTCTCTCTCTCTCCTTTTTTTTTTTTTTTTTCTCATGTCATTGTTCATCTCTCTTCAATCGAATAGATCAGGGATTTAGCAAAAACAAAAATAAAAAATAAAAAAATAAAATAAATCCACTATATATTTCTGCAATCAAATTGATGCGAAAACTTGTCGTTGGCTGCAAATTGTTGATGTATTTTTATACCTGAGTTGTGATTACCTGGAAAATGGTTTTATTTTTTAGGTTCTTGATTTTGAATTTTGGTAATTTAACCGGATTCAGATGGGGGAGATTTGAATTTTCGCTGATTTGTGGATGTTCGCCCCGTGAACTTCATGTGGTAAGATCTCTCCGAATATAAAAACTGAAAAGATTTTGTGCAAATTATTTATGATTTAAAATCAAATATTGTATTTCACCATGTGTGGCATCTACAATACCGATATGGAAGTTATATTCTTATAGACAAAATGGTTATTTAATTTCATTGTCTTGTGATATATATGCTATTGGTTATCTTTTTCGTTTTTCGATCCTTTAGTTGTTCTATAATATCGTCATCTAAATCGGGTTTGTTTTCGGTTAATTTCTTCGTTTCCAATTTAATCTTTCTCCCATGATATGACCAAATTAAATTTGGTGTTGTTGCTTAAATTACAATAGTTAAAATCTTTATGCCAATTTGTGATTTTGACGTACATTTTATCACGCACTTATTGTTAAACATGATGGATAAGTTTGTAGGATCTAGATAATGGATTAGGACTAGGATTAGGATCAGGATTAGAATTAGGATCAGGATTAGGATATGAATATTTTACTTATTCTATTGTTTAACGCAATGATTTACTTCGAAAAAAGTAAAACAGACACTCGGAAAAATCCTCCTCAAGAAGGTAAACGACATGGATTATGGTGCTTGTATACAATATTTTGTTTCATTGTATTACTCCCTTCGTTTCTTTTTAAGTGACGTTTTAATTAGTGAGAAAAGAATATTAATATTATTTGTCGGTCTAAAACTTTAATGTAGAACAAGTTTGTTTTGTGCAATGTTACCACAACACTAACAAAAAAATTAATGAAATGAGAAAGAGAAAGTTAAAAAGTTAATTACAAACGGTAATTTCAGCAAATAGGTATTCGATTGTTTCGTTAATCGGTGTGCATCTGCCTTAAACGTCACTTAAAAAGAAACGGAGGAAGTAATTTGATAAATTACATGATTGCACATTAACTTGGACGAGTTTTCCGATTGCAATGTGGAAGGGTCGAGAACTTAGTCTAGCTAGTTTATAACAATTATTTTCTTGTTCTGTATGTATATGCTGCTTGTATCTCTTCCAGGTAAATTTATGCAATATAGATACAATATGCTTCTTTTGTTACGACTGGAAATCTCTTTACTATATACTGCGCCTTCATCCTAAATCTTTACGGTTGCACTAAATTTGGTTTCGAACTGATGCATATGTTGATATTTTCTGTGGTAGACAATAGTTTTCAGCATTTCTGCCGTTTCTTGGTCAAACTCGCCTTATAGTTTTCAGCATTTTGTTTATTTATTTTGTTATTATTTTTTGTTTCTTGGTTTTTTCGGAGGTAACAAGTCTATTTATCTGCCTCTGTGAATCTCTTGCAAGAGCAGTAACATGTTTAGTTCAATAGTCAACTTGATCGAAATTTACGTTTCTTCATTCATAGTTACTCGTATAGATTGTTCGGTAATTTTGTTCTTGTATTTTTCATTTTCAAATCAAAACTGATTGAGCCAGGTAATAAATAAATCAACCTTATTAGCATAATTTGAAATTGTATTTCAATGATGGACTTCAGCAGGTCAATATTATGCTTCTTTTTTCATTTTAGTCCAATTATTTTATGGAAATTATTTAATTACATTATTGATAATTTACACTTGCATATCGTGGGAGGTTCTCTCGGATCGTATGTTGGGTGAAATCACATTTTTCAACCGGTTGTTTTTTTCGTTTTAGCTCGAATTATGATAGATTCATGTGCAAGTATATTCTTGATTAAACATTTTTTAACATGTTATTTGTAGTTAGTAACCTAATTTTTATTAATAGGTAAATGTCTAGGGTTCAAAACTTTTTCTTCCCGTTGGAATGAAAAAGTTGAACCCGCGAAGTTGTGAACCAATTAAACGACGAAACCGTCTCTTAGAAACCGAACAAAGTAACATTTGTCAATAGCAACGAATTTGGGTATAACGAAAATCCGCAGGTTCTGGGTTTCCCCTAGTACGTAGACACAAATTAGCTGGTTGAAGTTCAAAATTAGCGCTATTGAAAAAATATCAATTCTTTCCATAAGTGAATAACTAATTTTAATTTGTTCTATAAAAGTGGAAATACAAATTTTGAAAATTAAAATGATTTTCTTTTTTTCAATATCAGAATTTTTGGCTTGAAACCAACTAAATTTTGTAAGTATATTTGTTAATTTACGAAAAAAATTCCTCTTATTTGGATAATTATATTTACCCCCCTCCGACGATGATATTTTTTTACACCTCCATTATGATGGTGTCAAATTCAACATAATCATCTAGATTTCGTGAAATGTGCTCTAGTTTGTACTCGTTTTGTGTAAAAATACAGTTTCTGATACACCACAACCTGATATATACAAGTTTAAAAACACATATTATGATCATCTTGCTTCAAAATGTGGAGTTCGAAGAGGATAAATCGGGTACAAAAGTGATAATAATCCATATAATCTCGAAAATTCCACTAAATTTGAAACCGCAAGGGTGGGTGTGTAAAAAGATTTATAGTTAAGAGGTGTGGTTGTAATTATTCAAACAAAAGAGATTTTTTGGTAATTTGACCATACCTTAGGGGGTGATTGTAATTTACCCTTTTGATAATCTCAATTCTAAACTATAATTTTTTGTTGTCAAGTGGGGGCCTTTTTGATATTTTAACTTTCGGAATGTAAAAACAAAATCCTGGAGAAATAGTATCAAATGAAAGTTATAGAATTTAACCCATGAAAAATCAATTAAAAATGACATTTGTTAATTAAATATATAATCACATTAAATATTTTTTAAATAACTATTTGATACCATAAGCAAATAAATTTATATAGATATCAAAACTAAAATATTAAATATTAAATAAATACTCCCTCTGTCCCATATTATAGGTCTTTTTAGAGAGTTTTTCTTGTCCCAAATTATTTGTCATTTTAGATTTTCAATGCATTATTAGTTGCACTATTTTCAATTTTACCCTTTATAACTCCTAATTAGTTAGTTGTAAAACAATTAATGTCAATGATATATTAGTATTTTCCTATGCTTTTTACTATAATCTATATACATTTATTGATTTTCTTAATATGTGTAAAATAACCCAAAACGTCATTTAAATTGGGACGGAGAGAGTATTTAATAAGTCACTTTGATACTTTTGCCAATTGGGATCTGCAATTGTTGTTAGCTAAAAGGTAAGCTCAATTAAATAAGCCCAAGTCTACCCAAATACGGCGCCGCATCGTCCACTCATAAAACAATGACAAACTTTACTACTTCAAAGAAAAAAAAAAAAATAATAATAAAAAAAGGGAAAACAAACTCTTGTTTCGGTAGACTTAACGGCCGTCGACAGATTCAAAAAAAGGAGGTCAAAAAAACGAGAGACCCCACCATTTCTTTTTTTGTTTTTTATACACTTTTTTTCCCCACTTCACAAAAAAAAAGGCTTTTGAGATCCTACACCGGGTGAAATACACCGGGTAGATCTTTACCATTCATATACACACAAACACACACACACCCACATTGGTATGTGTAGATCAACGGTAAAAAATCATCGGTGTAACCTTCACCGGGTGTAGGATAGATAAAACCAAAAAAAGGTGGGTCAAGAAGAGACAGGCAAACACCGTTATAACGGTGTCAAGATTACTTCAACGCTTGGAATTAAAAACGGGCCCGCCGTCTTTAGGGGAGGGTTCTCCGCCGCCGATGCTGGCGGAGTGGACGGTCAAAGCCGAGATGCTAGGGGAAGTGGGGCCGCCGCCGCCGGCGAGGGGGTTTCTTGAGTGAGAGGTGGCGGTGGAGATGGCGGTGGCGAGGGAAATGGGCATTAAGCAGAGACCCTTGCCTTGAAGATACTGCATGGCGGAGCCCATATCCTCCTCCATCAGCTTCGCCACCTGATTCTCCGTCACCGTCATCCCGTCACTGTTGTTTGATGATGACGCCGTCTGTATCCCGTTACCACTCTTTCCCTGCACAATTTCAACACGGAAAAATTGTACTTTCAGTCCTCTATATTGGTCTATTTAGAAATTGAGTCCCCTAATTTGCCATATTTCGATGTGACATGCATTAATAATTTTACAAATATGGTATTTTTGTCCCTATTTCACATGATTTTTTTAACATATGACGCGACAAATAAACTTGACGGACTCTGCTTATATTGACACTTAGAAATGTTAACTTTGACATCTAATTTATCCTTGATAAAACGTTTATCACGTTAGAAAAATAATTTGTAATGATTTTAAAGCGTCCTAATTAATAAGGCGAGTTTGTTGATCAACGGGTAAAATTTAAAATTCCATTTTGTAAAAGGACTAAAAATACTAAGTAGTAAACTTATTGAATGTACAACTAAAATTGAGAAACAAAATTAAGCAAACTAAAATTGAGAAACAAAATTTAGAATTTTCCTTAAGCAAACTAAAATTGAGAAACAAAATTACAATTTTTCTTCACTAATAGCATGCCATTTCCTAGTTTCTGCATTACATTTCAAAATAAGAGTTTCCATCTTATTAATTTTCAAATATGTAACTCGGACGCAGAAACGATGATACGGGGAAATGATATATCTAAAAAATAGGGATATGAGAACTTGGAAGGAAAATATAAATATTAAAAGTATAGAGGTATACTTTTATAGATATGCTATATAAACATATATACGTTTTTTTTACAAATATATTATTTTTATATATTTCCATACAAACATGTAAATAATTAGAGAAACAACAAAAATATTTAAAAATCTGTTATTCAAACATGTTTTCAACTTTTCATAAATTATAAAATGACCCATAAGGTATATGTCATGTGTCCTCGAGTTTCGTGTCCGAAACTCGAATATGTTAACAAAAAATTTCAAAAAATTAAATGATGGATTCGAATTATTTTTGGAGAAAATAAAAAAAGGGAGTTAATCGAGTATAAAAAATAGCAGATGAAATTCGATTTTATTATCGCACATTTTAAATATGAGATGAATGCAAATCCAGCTAATATCTATTTGAAGTTTCAACTAAAGAAAATTAAAATAAACTAATTAAATGTACACGGTGGGGGGTGGGGTGGGGGTGGGGTGGGGTGGATGGAATCTAAAAAAGCGCACGCGTGGCTACTTTATGGTTTTGTTGTTTTGCTGATGATGTACAATTTTGAGAGGGACAGCCAACATTTCTAGGGTTTTTCTTTTTTTACTTTACGGTTTTGGCAATACTCAATTCCAATGCCACAATTAATTTCAATTGCCCAAAAAGAAAATAACAAAAAAATAAAATAAAATAAAAGCAGCAGTTACCTGAGAGGAAATATCAGTAACAGGGGGTGCAGCAGCTGCAGCGCCTCCCAATCTGCTCATACTTAAAACCTGTAATTAAGTACGTAAGTTCACCATTAATTAATTATGATATTATTAACCATTAAACAAACATTAAAACATAGAATCAATGAAACTACTTTTTTTTAATCATTCAACAACCCATCCTCTCCCACCATGTAATTAAATATTTACTTGCCCACAACAATTTGTCAACCAAACGAATCTTTTTGCAATATTTTACATTCATCACAAAGCTAGAGAGAGAGAGAGAGAGAGAGAGAGAGAGAGAGAGAGAGAGAGGTACTTTGACTTGGAGCTGGAGGAATTTGACATAGTCTATGATTTCATCCAGCATTGATGCTTTGTCTGTCTGCCATTTCAATAACAAAATATATACTAATCACAATTTTTCTAGAGTCCTAAAAACAATCTCAATTTAGCACCAAAAAAAAAAATATAAAAATTAAGTGATTTAGATTAATTTGAAGACTATGATCTAGATTAATTAAGTGATAATTAGGTAACGCTAATTAATTAGTCCCCCCCCTAACTAATTATGCTGATTGTGATTCCTCTATTATCTTCTTTACAGCTATGATTCCCATCACCTAATAGTTTACTACATTCTCAATCACCAAATCGACAAGTTCTCACATGTGATATATATATCACTTGATCTCTATACCAATCCTTCATTTAATACCACGTGAGACTGCAATTCTATTACCAGAATAATGCAAAGTTTTACTTTTAACAAATAATGAAGCCTTAAAATTTGTTTATGTTCGGAAATATTTGGTGCCAGCAGTTCCTCATATTTATGTTCTTAAAGGAACCCGCAGCTAACCATATAGATGAACTGGCTAAACATACACTTTCGTATAATAGTTTACAGATCATACGAAAGACGTGAACCACACTAAGCTAACCATGTATGACAAGCTCAATCTAGTGACCGTTGACAATGGAATTTTAATATGAGTCAATTGACGCAGTCTAGTTGCTCTAACAGCTTATTTTTGTTATATATAGAGAAATGGTTAATAGATTACATATTGGTTTAAATGTCAAACAATAAATGAGGGTTGTTGCACAAGTGCACAACACACAAATTTAAATAAAGGTTATATTTCGCACCATTATACGACTTATATATATATACATATTCTACGTTGGTGTGTAGATTAATAATATATTTTTGAGTTAATTGCAAAACCCTCTTGTGTGTTATTTCGAATTGTTAACAAATTCTTATATTGTTTTTATTAGAAATTTTGCAACATTCTTTTTTAGAGCAACTCCAAGGGGAATCAAATGGAATATTAAATGATAAAACTTCTACTTTAATTCTCAAAACTCAAATTTCTTCTCCAACGGAAGCACTAAAAGGGTAGTTTTTTTGATATTTCATTTCCTAGAGATGCAAATGCACCCAAAAAACTAAGTATCAAATATTCATAGAAATTAAGAACTGCAATTTAAAGAATAATAAATTTTCTAACAAATTCCTATGGAATAGGGACCAAATATATCTATTAATTTATGTTTATACATTTTTAAAAATAAAATAATTTATCTGATTCCTACGGGTTGGAGCACATAAGTTTTTTCGAAAAGCCAAAGTATTATTTCAAGCATCAATTAAGGGTTTAGATGTCTCATTTTAATACCTACCATTGGAGTTGCTCTTAGGGGAGAGTTACTATACCTGATTATTTACATCGGATGAATTTGAAACGTAGATTTGATTAAATAGCTAATCACAAAACATACGTACACATAAGTATGTGTAATTATGCGTAAATCCACAGTTCAAATCTACCAGTATAAATAACCAGGTGTGACATCTAATTTTTTTTTAGCTTACAATCGCCTAATTGATGATTTCTAGGAGTTTGTTTGCCTTTTATATTCCAATCACAATGGGTTATTGCTAAAACAATAACATGATATTTTTTTTAATAATTAGGATAATACTAATATGAGTGCCAAATGCAATATATCATTTTGAAATATAATTTTATTCAACTTCACGAGTGTGATATAAATTTGACCAAAAATTGATGAGAATATAACAATTTTCATCAATAATGATATATAATTAAGTTTTAAGAAGGCAGTTAATCTCAATTAACAAAAGTGATTAATTAGTGATGAAATGACCTTATTGGCGTTGGGTACAAGCTCTTGTAGTGCCTTCATTCTCTCCGCAATTCTCTCTCTCCGTAACTGCCCACATTTTATTTCCAACCAAAAAATAAAAAAAAAATAAAAAATAAAAATAGTGATAAAAAATTTAAACTGAAATTAATTTCCGGAAAAATGAAAAATCTGAAACTGATTTTGCACTCACTCTCTCAGCGATGCTGTGAGGGTCAGTTGCCTGCCCTCTCCTGGCTCTCACCCTCTGCCGCGGCTGTCCCGCCGCTCCTCCGCCGCTGGCTGCCGGATGATTCATCGCCGGCGCCGCTGCCGCTCCGGCGGAGCCGAAATTATGAGGATGATGAAAATGCTGAGATTGATTTGAAGTTTGACCGAGAGATCCGGTGAGGCCATTGAGCAGAGCTTCAATTGATGCATCATTTGCCTGCATCAATTTTCCCCCAATTTAACAACACTCGGTAAATTTTTAAATTTTACAGAAAAAAAAAATTTAAATGAGAAAATAATTAAGAAAAAAAAAACTGACCGGATTAATAGACTTGAACGAGTTACCATCGATTAAATCACTGTGATCTCCATGAGGCATGGGAAGAAGGCCGGAACCACCGTCGGCGCCGCCGTTTCCGGCGGCGAGGCTCCTGGAGAGCAACAACTGCTGTTGAAACATCAAGGCCTTAGCGGTGGCGGCGCCGCTGCTGATCTGGTGCTGCCTCATCTTCGACGACAACGACTGCTCCTCCAACTGCGGCGGCGCGTGGTCGTCGGACCAATTGTAGGAGGCGGCGGAGGAAGGGACGGAGGAGAGCATTTGCTCGAGAAAATCGTCGTGGGGGGTGGCCGGATCGAATTGGCCACCATGGTGGTGGTTTAGGAGTGGGTTGATATTGTTGTTCATGCCGCTGAATTCTCTACTCGCAGGCTGCATGTGTAGATGATGATTAATAATAATATCTGCAATTTTGAGGGAGAAGATTCGGTTCGGAAAGAAAACGAGTTAGAGAGAGAAACATGAAAACAGCAGCATGGTTTGGGGTTTGGGGATATTTGGAATGTTTATGGAAAAGTGAGGTGTACAAATATATATAGAAACTGATACATATATATATGTATGTAAACGTGGGGTTCTATAATTGGGGATAATTATACTGACTAATCAATTATCAACCTAATCTGCATTTTTGGACAATTGCATTTTCACTCTATTATAAATCGGGCGTCCACTAAATTAGCGAAAACTCCAAGGCAAAATCATCTCTTTTGAGAAGAAAAAAAGTATGGGACTAATTTCAACTTTTTAACATTTCCATGTTTCACGTGCTTTTCGTGTTCTCACACTCAAGGACATTTGTCGGATATTTTATGTGTCATTTTACAATTATTAAAAACTTAGACACATGTTTGAATAGTAAATTTCTAAATATTTTTCTTTAATTATTTACATGATTTAATGGCCAACTGCAAGTTGATAGCTGATAGTAAAATATATTCTGAATATGTAAATGCCTCTTCGACCCTACATCCGGTGATAAATACTGAAAAGTAACTAAAAATAAATTATTTGAAAAAAGAAAACCCTATGATAAACACTGAAAAGTAACTAAAAATAAATTATTGGAAAAAAATAGAAAGTAATATATAATGTATAATAATGAATGAATATTTTAAGAAGTAAATGAACTAAAAATAAATTTAAATACTTAAAATGACTATTATTTATGTATTGGTTTCTTAAAATTTATCGATATGAATGTATTCAATTAATTGGTCCAATGAAAATTAGATGTTATTTATTAAATATATAACTATCAGTACAAGATAATATTTTTAAATATTAAAATACTACATTTTTTAAGATATTTTTAGTTGTGTAGTTTAATTATTCTTGTACTTATTATTTTAAATAAATAATTTTTTTAAGGTATCAGGATGTAAAATACAAATTGATTGAACTTGAGGGGTATGTTTTACAAATAATACTTTAGGGGTTAGTGTTGCATAGGATATACATTAGGGGTGTAAACTGTATTTAACCTATAATTTATTGTCTATGTATTCCCCTTGAATATTTTTTAACAATTGAATTATATATAAAAAATAAAATTAATTATTTCTAATAGAAGACAAATACTAAATAAGCCCAACAAGTTGGATAAGGAAGTAAATTAGTCCGTCAACTCTCAATTTCAAAAATTTCCACCATATTATATTTATTTAGTCCACCCAATTTTTATTGTTTAGTCCACCGAAATTTAAATTAATTTAAAAAAAAAAAGTTCTTTTTTTTTTGCTTTTCATATTTTCTGATTTTGTCAAACAGAAATTCTAACATTTGATGGGGGGCTACACCCGAACCCCGACCTGTAACAAAATACTAGACTCGTTACTTTTGTAACAATCATTATTGTCCAATAATTCCTTTACGATATTTTTTTTAATGTATATTCGACCACCTGATAATAAAATCGCACCTTCGCCACTGCAATATAATGTATACGTAGTGATAATATTAGGAGGATGACGCCCCCCATTGGACTTGGGAAGGCAAATTTTAAAATGGGAATCACAAAGGGGCAAGACATTATTATAGCTATGATTTTGGTGATTCCAAGACAATAAATGTGTAGGAATCAGATGATTATATGCATATTGACTATGATTTGGTATAGTTTGTGACTAGTTTAATAGTTACATTTTATACTATGCAGGAAATAAAATAAAAATCATAATAGACCACCACTATGTATAATAAAATCAAGAATATGAAAAGATCCATATGTTGTGCTGATTGTATATGAAATGAGTATAGATAAAGTTAGGCAACTTTAATTTATTATCTGTCACTGCCAAACCACAAGAGGAAATTCACTTCTGCAATCTTTAGATCGCCAAAGAGTACTCAAAGTAAAGTATGAGTTTAACCTGCAGTCTGGAATAGTTAAAGGGGCTTGCTATTATCAGTGCGGTTTTTACCACTCGCAGTGCAAAATAATTTTTTTTTTCTTTTCCAAATCTTATCTAAACTCTCTCTCAAACACTCTCAACCTTTAATTCTTGAAATTCTTCAAATCCAATAATTTTTCGACCAATATTAGTTTGAGCACAAGTATTATCAACATGGACGACAACGGCTTCGATTTTGAGGTGAAAATACACGTTTTTTGTTCATTTCCAACATTTTTAGACATTTCGTGTTATTTCACACGAAATCTATTCTTCAATTTCGTGTAATACTATACGAAATATGTCTTAAAATCGTTTGTGTTGTTTGTTTCGTAGGTTTTGGTACGAAATTTTACATTTAATTACGTTTTATGACAATTTCGTAGTAAAACCTACGAAATTAAAGCTCTTATTTCGTATGATTTTACACGAAATTGTAGCTTACATTTCGTGTTGTTTCATACGAAATCCCTTAAATATTGTCTTTTAATTTCAAATATTTATGCAGGAACTAAGAGAACAATCTCACGATCATAGTCACTTCTTTGAACGTGGTATTGTGTATGATAGTAGAGAAACGTTAATTATGTGGGCAAAAGACACAACAATTAGTCATAATCAGCGACAATTAATCGTTGTAAATCAAAAAAATATCATGTTTTAACGTGTGCAAGATATCAATCTGGACGACACGTACTATTGAAGAAACGTTCTTGTCCGTTCAGGTTAATTGGCAAAAAATCAACGGAGGATGGATTATGGCGATTGAGTGTGAGTAATGGTAATCATAACCATCTGCCGTGTATTTGAAAGTTTAACTTATGTTTAAATTTGTATTTTTTTTTAATTTTGCATTTTAATGTTTAATTTAAGTTTGGAATATTTAAATTTGTAGTGTTGTGTTTTGCATTTTTATGTTTAACCTATGTTTTTGGAATGATTATAAGGTTGTTTTGGAATGTTTAAATGTGTACTTTTATTGCTTCATTTGTACGTAGTTTCTAAATTCAAATCATAAAACTAGTAAATTAAAATACAAAACAAACTAGTAAATTAAATAGTTCGTAATAATAATAAACAAAATTAGTAAAATAATTAGTTCCCAATAATAATAAAAACAAATTATTAAATCAAATAGTTCCTAGAAATAATAAACATGCATAGTCCTAATAATAATAAAAAAAAACTTTAAAATTAAATAGTTCATAAAAATACATAACTGGCAAAAAAAAATCTATAAACTACCGCCTCGCTCTCCTCGGCGGCTGCACCTCATGATCGTCGTCGTCGTCGTCGTTGTCCTGGTCGATGCTAATATATCGGGCGGCGGGCTGCATGATATCTCCAAGGTCGGCACGTAGATCGGCAAACTGCTGCATCCAGTCCTGTCCAGTGTCCTGGTGATCGGGTACAATGCACGTACTATCTGGTAATAAGTGGGCTGATCTGGTGGCCTCACATTCTCTCGATGCAGTTGATATGGGCCTACGTCGGGGTTGTTGATCTTCAGATGAGTCCAATATGTGTACCAATCCATGTAGTGTTCGTCGACTTCCTCCAGTTGTCGTGTCGTCTTGTATACGTTGGCACGAATGGAATGAGCCTGGATTATGTCCCACATACCACTCGGAAATGGGTAGTTGACTTTGTACGATGCACCTCCTTTGAGACCGCGTGAACATGACTCCATCGATGGAATCAAGCCGCGCGGAATATCCTGAACCCACCCGAACTGTCGGACGCAACGATCAGGCATATACGGTTCTACGACCCACATGTACTGGATCGTGCCATGATACAACGTACGAGGATACTCTCGTGTATATCCCGACCATACAGTAGCCACTAAACAGAAAACAATATAAATACATAAATCTAAAAATTCATATTTAAACAAACTACAAACATAAGTCGAAAAATTTCATATTTAAAAAAAATATAAACACATAACTCGAAAAATTCATATTAAAAAAAAATATAAATACATAAATATAAAAAACTTACATCATCCGCTGTCATATTGTCGAGTAAACCTCGAATATGCTCGAGCGTGCCCGCTTTTGGCGGCGCGTTCCACCTCTTGCATCAAGGCTGAAACTCGCGGTACCGCTCGCTCTCCTCCGACGGCTGGAATCTCGGGAAATACTCGAATATCCAACACTGCAATATTTTATTTAAAGATATTTAGGGAAATAAACAATAGAGAATATATAAATTTAAAAACATTATGAAAAAAAATAAGTACAAAAATATATTAAAATTTACCTGAAGAAGGGTGGTGCAACCCGCCAAGCTCCTCGACTGTGCTCGACTGCATATACCCAGCTTCCTGTATAGATTGGCCAAACATGCCGAACCCCATGAATACGTGCCGACCTCATCAAGCACTGAATCCTCGAGCACGTGCATATACCACGACTTCACCCGATCATATGTCTTGTCGGGGAATAAAATCGATCCGAGGAGAAACACCACATATATCTGAACTCGCCGTCTCATGGGCGTGTCGGGCATCAACAAATGTCCATGTATCATCCTCCATGTGGGGCCCCCATGCTTCCATGACTCGTCAATCTCCTCAAAATCGAGGTTTAATACCTCGGACAACAAATACACGCAGTTTGTCCGCTCGATGACCTCGTCGTACCTAGGCGCGACCACCCGTCCCTCCACATTGGCACCTAGAATCATCTGGACATCGTGGAGAGTGATAGTCATCTCTCCCCACAGCATATGGAAGCTGTTCGTCTCCGGCTGCCACCGCTCCACGAATGCAAACAATAGCGGACCATCTATGCGCGGTAAATAACATCGGGCTAGGGGATACAAACCGGTCATCCGCAGAAAATGCTTATCTGCGGATACATCTATGTATAGGGCAGCTGTTATCTTCTCGTAGTTGAAATGGTTCAAGGAGTTGATACGAAACTCCACTCATCCAACCGGACGTTCCTGCAATTATTTATTTAGAAAACATATTAGTTAATCAACTATACAAATATTTTAATATAAGATATAAAAATTACAATATTAAAATTAAAACAAGTAATTAACTTACTTCTCCCCTCCAAATATATGCCGCTACGTGCGACTTGAAACTCGGAATCAAAGACGGATCCCGCGGGCCACCGGGAAATGGACCATCTAGCACATTCGGATTGACTCGAGTATGACTTCGATCACCACGAGCTCCACGGCCCCGTGCTCGGCCTCCACGACCTCCACGAGCTACAACCTCTGTCTCGTGAACGGGGTCCACAACATCCTCCTCCTCCTCTAAAGCATGGGAAGACTCGACATCGGGATGTGCAACCGATGATCTAGCTTCACCAGCTCTCTCAGCCTCTTGCCTACGTCGTGTAGACATAGTCATGCGCTCGCGCTCTTGATGTTCGGCCTCATCACGAACTGCTCGCATAATTGCCTTTGATTTGCCTTTGTTAAATAAGACACTATTAACGTCAGTCTAAATAATAATAAATAAAACAAATTTAAAACAAACTGAAATTATGCAATAATTTAGTGGAAAAAGACACGAAATTAATGCTTACATTTCGTGTATTTTTCACGAAATGTAAGCATTAATTTTGTGTCTTTTTCCACGAAATTATTGCATAATGCCCGAAACACACAGTTTCGTGCATAATACCTGGGAAAGAAAAGCTTACATTTCGTACGTTTTCTCACGAAATTAAAGCTTTCGTTTCGTAAGTTTTTGTACGAAACTTAAAAGAAACAAAATATTCTACTAATTTTGTGGAAAAAATCACGAAATTAGCCCTTAATTTCGTGATTTTTTTTCACGAAACGCATTTTTTTCCGAAAAGTTTCGAAGGTCTTCGAAATACTGAAAACGTATAGATTTTCGATGAAATTTTTTCTATATACTACTATAAAACATCGGATTAACGATTTCGAGTTCGAGTTTTACCTTAAATCATTGTGGGATTGCTCGTTTAATCCGCGGGAATTCGAAGGGACTTGGAGAGGGTTTGAGAGGATTTTGAGTTTTTTGAAGAAAAGTTACAAATGAATCTAAAGTGCACTGCAAGGCGGTAAAAGCTGCACTATCAATAGCATTTCAAATAGTTAAACTTTCGATGGGGATTTCATATGATTTGGAGTTCCGGATCTGTTTCTGCAATTCATTTATAATTTATGCGTATTTCGACGGCGGTGGGTCTTTCGGACGCGTAATTTATTTTCCGACAGTTGAAATTTGATGGGGCCTACCCACTATTGGATTCCTCTTGTCGAGATTATATTTTGATGATAATTTCGTTTAATTTTGATTGTTAGATGTGTTTCTGTGATTTTTTCATTGCGTGCTCAGAACCTTGGGTGGTTGGCAGCGGCTAAAATTTTGGTAGGACGCACTTGGGATGAGGAATCCTTGGCGGTTTGGTGAAAATTTATGTCTCTCTGAAATTCCGTTGATTTCGAGTGTAGTGAAGTTTCATCATTTTTTTTGCTAATTTGCTCTAAAATTTAAATTGAATAACACAACATTGTATTCAATGTTACTGGTATTGTCTTCCCAAACAAAACAACTAAATAATATATTCTTTTTGTTTGATTTTGCAATCGCAGATCAATGGAAGCCATTGATCTTCTCCTTGAAGATGCAAAAAATCAGGTTGAAGTTGTAGACGGATTTGGCGAATTTGACATATTTTTCAAGTTATAATCTACTACATAATATATATTACTCTAGTCATATATAGTAACATGTAGTAACATATGCATGTGATTGTGTATTTGGTATGTATTTGTTTGTTACAAGTTGATTTATTATATAAATATTTAAATTGTGAATTTTATTGTTGGTGGTGATGAAGTTTTTTTTATATAAGCTGTGATATTAGTATGTACATAATTAGTCGACCGTTATTTTTGAGACAAAAAAAAATGTAACTACAAATAATTATAGTCATTTACAATCCTTTTTTAGTATCGTAAATACATCGAAAAATTATTTTTCAAATTTTTTTTAATAATAATAAAAGAATAATAATAAAAATAATTAAAAAATATAAAGGGTAAATTACACACGTACCCCTGAAGTATGCTGAAATAACTTTAAGGTCCCTGTGGTATCGGTAATTACACTCACCCTCTTTGAACATAGTTAGAAACATGGGATAATGCATTAGATACCTTATTACGATAGAGTTTATGGCTATTAGTTTCAGGAAGTGGTGGAGACAACATAGAGAGCTATGGGTGATTTAAGAAATGTTGGGGGAGCCATGTAACCCTTTAGTTCTATGTTGTCTCCACCACTTACTAAAAGTAATAGTCCGTTAGAACTCTATCGGAATTATGTATTTATTGCATTATCCCATTAGAACTTCTAACTATGTTTTAGGGGTGAGTGTAATTACCGATACCACATGGTCCTTAAAGTTATTTTAGCATACCTTAGGGGTGTGCGTGTAATTTACCAAAAAATATATAAAAAAATTAGCAAAATAAACAAATAAGTTTTTATGAATTAAGATTAAAAAAAAGTCAGTGAAAATGATAAATGTAGGTCCAAAAATACTAAATGTAGTTGGGCAAAAATTACATATAAGAGCAGTTTATGTAGCATGGATACGGAAACGGCGATACGAGGAAACGGACACGGGAAACATCATGTCCCAAAATAGGGATACGTGAGCTTGGGGGAAACGTGTAAATATTAAAAATATAGGGGTATACTTATAAATTGGCTATGTAAACATAAATAAGTTATTATTTATATATAATTTTTTTTTTTAATGTCTTTGCCACCCCTTAGACTCGGCCACGGGCCAGGTTGGGCCCGGACCTGACCCAAACCCGGAACCGAGTATGCATGGGTCGATTTTGGGTCTTTTTTTTTGTGGACTCGAGACCCCACAAGGGGACCTGGAATCGAGGACCCGCACACCCGAATTTAATGTGTAAATATTACGAAAATTGCTTTGGTTTAGGGATCGAACTCGAGTCAACCGGGTGATTTAGAAGAATACTAACCATTCGTGCAAAACAAAATGTTGCAATATTTGTAACTATAAACATATAAATATAATTAAACTGTAAAATATTATACTAATTGTATAACTAATGTTAAATAAATCATTAATTGTCATATGTAGTATTTTAATATTAAAAATTTCCACTAATAATAAATGCATATATATTTAATTTTAAAAAATATAAAGAATTACGGTTCAACCCGTGTAATTTAAAAGAAAAATTGAATTTTGAATTTTTTTGAAGTTTGAAATTTGAACTTTGAATTTTGAAAAATCTCTCAATTATTGTTTTCAGTTATACAGACCCTCAATCCAATCTTCACCAATTCATTTTCACAACCTTCATTTTGTTTAGTTTATTTCTTAAGGTCTTATTCAATTTTTCTAAAACTGTTTAGTGTTTAAATTTAATTTTTTTTATTTTTTTTATTTTTGTAATTTTGAATTTAAAGTTAAGCTCAACTTTTTTCAAGTTTCAATTAGTTTATTTTTCTTCTGGTAATTCTTATTAAACAAAAAAACCCAAACCCGGGTGGACCCGCCTCCCCACAGGTCAGTTTTGGGTCCCCAAAAAGTCGAACCCGGACCCGATCCAGTCCGTGGCCGTATCTACCGCTCCTGGCCATGCACTGGCTTCCACATTACATATATATAATATATAAATTATTGGCTATATAACTTTAATGTTTCCAATTAGATAAAATATCCAATTGTAACTCATCCAGGATAATTCTCTCACGATACTTCTCAACTACATATTTGACTAAAAAAAAGGGTTAGAATCATATTAAGACTATTATTCATAACTACCTATAAAATTTAATTGTGGGTTTAACTTTAATTACAAATGTGAGTTACTTTGAAGAGTTAATTTCAATTGACCCCCCTATATTATATTTTATACCAGATATACCCTAAATTATATTTTATACCAGATATACCCTAAATTATATTTTATACCAGCTATTCCTTTCTTCTTCTTTTTTTAGTCAAGTATCCCCTTGTTATTTAACTGAAAAAAACATTTTTTTACCAGTAGGGCTTATAGATTGATTTCTAAAAAATGTCAATAATTATGGGCTCAATATTATATTATTTTCCCCTTAAACTATTTATTGTAATAAAAGAACAATACAATTAAAGTAAATGCTAGCTAATTATATACTATTACTTCTGAAATAATTCGAGAATTAATGTGAAGGAATATTTTAATCGTACCTATGGTTGATGACATTTTTTTTTGTATAAGAGAATTTCAAGTGTATATGATTGTAATTCCTTTGATCTATATATTTACATTTCTGTTTTAAAGAAATACCAGCAAAAGAAATTTCGCATCGATGAATTCCAATCAAAAGTATTGAAACGGAAGCGTTTATCTTGCGATTCTAATCAAGTTTGACGTTCCGCATCAAGTTACAAACTGATCTATGTAAATGAAATTAAAAAAAAAATCCAATAAAATAATGAATTGTACAGTAGGTCATACGTGATTCAACCGAAATAAGCTAAATTTAAAAATATAAAAAGTAAATAATAAAATACGAAAATAATTAGGAAAAATGAAAAGCATATTCTTTAAGCTATAATTAATAATTAGTAAATCCCAGTCAACTCTTTAGACTTTTCTCACTAACATTGATTACACAACTCACATATGAAAATACAACAGATAACATATAATTAGTGTATGGCATCCATATAAAAAACTGCAGCATATTCTGTAATGTACAGAATAAAGATCAAGGAACCAAATTAATATTTTTTTTAAACCTTAAGCTTCATTTGATACTCTTCATTGGTATTAAAGTATTACTGATTAACGTTAATTTTTTATTTGATATGGGCCCTGTTTATAAGCTTATTTTAAATAGTTGATAAGCTATTACGTCTGATAAGTTGTTTAAAAAGTTGATAAGTTGTTAGTCACTTACGTCTTATTTTTGGAATTAATTTTTAAAGTGTTTGGATAATAAGTTTATAAGATATTCTTGCTAATTATAAGATCATAAATATAAAAAGGTGCGACAATGGTATTTTTTTTTTAAAATATCTTATTTGTTCTACGACAACTTATTTTTTAAATTTTTAAGATGTTTTTTTTTTAAGTACCAAACACTTTGAAATAAGCATTTAAACATTTTATAAGCTATTTTTAACAGCTTATAAACTTAGTCAAACACTCTCATAGTCCAATTTGAAATCAGGTATTGTGTAAGGATCGGACTTCTTCAATAATTTGCTTGATGGTGGATTTGGTCTTAAAAATAGGATCATATCATATACAACGTATCTCGATTACCAAAGGTTCGCGTTGTATCATTCTTGAAGGAGACTGCAAATAGGTTATCGAGGCATTTCAAGAAGGCGGTACATCAATTGTATTCGCGTTTAACTAATTGTTGTGTTTTTTTTTTATTAAGAGGCTAGGTAAATAAACTTGCTCGCGCTTTAGCAACTTTTTTTCTCATGTAACGATTGCAGGCAATAGCCTTCCTCGGAACTTGGTTTCGCTAGCCTAATGATATACATTTATCTTACAAAAAAAACATTGCTCCTATCCGAGAAATTAGATGCTACATCAGGTTATTTACACTGGATGAATTCGAACAATAGATGTACACGTACATAATTACACAAACACCCATATGTAAGTGTGTTTAGTGGGTAGTTATCTAATCAAATCCACAATTCAAATCCAACCAGTGTAAATAATCAGGTGTTGCATCAAACAACAACCAGATCCTATTCAATGTAGTCTAATTATTTGCAGATCCAATTTGATAAAATTAAAGATATAATATCTTAGTTAGATACATGTGATTAATTTAATTTAGGTGTCTTCTAACATAATATCATATTAGAAAGAACACTAAAAAAAAGGGTTGCATTATATTTTAAGAATTAGATTAATTTATAGGTTGATTGGCCAATCATAATTGGAATATGTGCAGTCATGTCAGTGAAACTAACTACGATATATATTAATTATTGTCTTGAACGAACTAGTAATACACCTGACACCAATATACTATTAACAAAATATTTATTTTATAAAACATATTCCTTTCTAGAAAAAATAGTTCTGCATATATATATATATATATACTATTTTATACATTAAAAATGTTTTAATAGTTAGCACTTAGCACAAACCTAATAATTTCTTGCAAGAGTAGCATAACCGGTGGATTGTATTCCTATCAATTCAAATTTGATTTTTTTGTTACCAATAATTTCTATGTTGTGCCCGTCGCAATTTTATCTAGTGGTTTGTATGTTATTGTACGAAATCGAGATTAATCAATATATATTTGTAATTGCAGGTCTATATACGTCTGAAAAAATTGAAGTGTAATGGCAACAAGTGACTTGAGTTCAATAGTTTCTCATATAAAATTATTGACTGTAGAGATATAATAATATGGAGAAAACAAAATTGTTTTCCGCATCGACAGAACGGGAAGTGCTCCTTGAGTTATTCACATTTCATTTGACGGTCAGGGGCGAAGTGAAAGCTAAATTGTAGGAATTCTAAATTAATGTCCGACAGATAGTGCGGACTGAATAGAAACAATTGTCAATTTTAGCTCGAATGGTTTGTAGGGGATCAGAACTCTACCCTCTCTGGTCCATTCAACACTTGCAATTTCTTTTCGTCGTTACGCCCTGCAGTTTGTACTTATATTCCTTTTGTATCTGCTTGTTCAACTAACTGAGGTTTAACTAATCAACTGTATTGCTGTGAGGATTGTGATTTATCATTTATATTTAACTGGTCGTTGATTGATATTAATATCGATTCAAAATATAAAATAAAAACAGCTAGTAAGTTTTATCGGATGATTAACAATATTATTAATTTCTATTACATACACTTAGGTGGTGTTTGCAAATGAGTATTTAAAAGCAAAAGTTAGTGATTGGGAGTTAAGTCAGTTTTAAGTGCTTAGTTCTAAAAGTTGAGGGTGCTTGCAAGTATTTCGGAAAATGAATTTAAATAGAAAAAGTAGGGTTTGAGGTGCTTTTGAAAAAGTAACTTAAAGCTGATTATTTTAAGAGAAATAAAAATAAAAGATAATTTTACAAACACCTGAAAACAAATTATGAGCAAAAAAAATTTCATAATCACTTTCAAAAAGCTTTTACAAACACCACATTAATATTATTTTATATAAAGTTTAAATCATTTGGACAAGGCCATATGATTTATAAGAATTAGACAAAACCGGAAATGTATTTTAAAATAAAATACCCATAACTAATTTCTTAATCAAATTAAAATTAAGAATGAAATAATTATTATTTATATAAAAGTCCTACTAATTATAAATACACCAACTGCCAGCCCATACATTCTGGGTGTCTTCACTCTTCTCTAACCCCTCATTATTATCAGAGTTTAGAGCCATATTCTTCTGTCTTGCTGATTGTAATGTTTTTTATTTATTTATAGGAAATTGCATTTATTTTTATATTGAATATAAAGTGGCTAACTAATATGATCTAGTAATTTATTTGTTTGACAAAATTTTAACTAATTTAAGCTTATAATAAAACAAAGATAAAATAATTAGTATACAAAATAATATGTTATGAAATACTGCACACAAATTTATTAAATATAGAGAGAAAATATATGATAATTTAAAAAAAATACAAAATCCAATTGTGCATTTCTAAATTAAAAAAATATGACAAAAATAAAATAATAGTTAAGAAAGTGTATGCTTTTCTACTTGTAAAGCCCCTTGGTTATTTATGTCTTTTCGGTTTAAAATGATATTGGGTGCAATGTCCAATCTGAGACATTTAATTAGGGAGGTTAGTTTCATAATATAAGGACTTTTTATCAGTTTGAAATAATAAATGTATACTTAGTGCAATTTACTCGAAAATAAATCATATTTCAGCTCTAATTCTGAGGGTTGATTGTCAATGGCAAGTCTAGTAATTTATCACAGAGTGGACTTAAATTTTTCAGGAGTTCGGGGGCTGCACTTGAAGAAGAAGTTCGGATCTTTTTATTCCATGAAGTCGGCCAGAATCAGAAAATAGGAAAAGAAGAAAAAATTCTAGGTGTTTTCGGATTCATTTGAGTTTTAGGTGGCTTAAGTAATAAAAATTTGCTGATCTAAATAAAAATATATGTAAATATGAAAGTTCTTGCAAATTTTTAAGGTTTCGTAAACGACGATTAAGTTCGATAAATACAAGTTAAATAAAATCTCCGAACACGACAATCCTCGCAAATGTGCCATAAAGTACAATTTATTTCTTGCTTTCAAAAGAAAAAGGAAAGAAAGAAAATCTCGTAGGCTAAAGCCGTAGAGAAAATAAATCGAAAGGTCGATCGTAAGTTTTAGCCCATAGTATAAGAGGGGCTTGGCAAGTTGATCACAGTGCTCTTCACCTTTGTCATCATGTTTATGCTGTTAGTTATTCCTTGTGATCCTATTCCACTGTCCTTAATTCCCTGCAACAACAAAAAAAAAACATTAACATTTGTCACAAAAATATTGAATGCCTCATTTGGTTGGTAACGTACGTCGTGATTTATTAAATTATCCGGCTTTATTCGATATATTTTTAGTCTAATAACTTTTTCGAATTGGTCAAAAATCGTTGCTAATAATTTTTTTATTTTTTTTTTAAAAAGGAGCTATTGTAGACCCTCAAGTCCAACTATCAATTGGATGCAGATAAAATTGCATAATCTTATCTCGACAGCCAAACGAGACCTAAGCAACAATTGCTAACTGGACACTCCTTTACCTGGAAAGGGAAATGATCTGGACCGCGAGCAGGTGCCGAGTTAATCTGAACCGTTCCGCTCTCCATAGCATCACTAATCAACATTGCTTTATTGATATCTTTAGTAAACACACACCCCTGAAAAAAGTCATAAATTGATTGAGCATTGCACAAAAATTACGTCTAGTACCCCTGTATTGTATCGATGAATTTAAAGTTTGGTATACCTGGAGCCCGAAGTTGCTAGCATTGCAATGATGAATACCTTCTTCGGCGGAGGCGATCCTAATAACGGGCACAACGGGCCCGAAAGGCTCCTCCCACGCGATTCTCATGTCGGGCCGAACATGGTCCAACAACAAGGGCCATATGAGATTCCCCTCTCTCTTGTATTCTTGGCAAAATGTTGCACCCTTTTGCTTAGCATCCATCACAAGCCCTTCTATGAAATTGGCCGACGATTCCGAGACAACGGGGGTGATATCACAGTCGTCCTCCGGTGGGCCCACGGTCAATTTTGCCACTTTCGAGTTGACTTTCTCGACCACAGCGTCGGCCACGGATTCCATGACCAATACCACCTTGACAGCTGTGCACCTCTGCCCACTGTTGTAAATAAGCACATTTTGTTCTATCAAATTGAATTACATTATAAATAATTATTTAGAGAAAGGAAAATCTAAATAGCGGTAGTATATTAGGGCCCGCAAAAATAAAATTCTGGCTTCGTCACTGATCTGATCATAGATTTTGTAACGTAAATAGCCAATTATATGCAATTTAATCTTCTCATAATAGATCAAGTGTGCTATCGTATTTATCGTAACCGAAAACTGTACGTAAATTCGTTATCTTAATACCTGTAAGAGAATCCCCCTTTCACAATATTTGCAGCCACCAAATCTAAATCAGCATCCTCCAGCACAATACAAGCATCTTTTCCTCCCAATTCCATCTGTAGAGGAATCATCCCTGCTTTCTTCGAAATCGCAATTCCAGTATCACCGCCCGTGAAACTAGTAAAAAAAAACGAGCGCGCGTAAAATTATTTGCAATTGATTCAATTTACATTGAGAAAATAAAGGAGTAAGAAAAAAACTATAAATACCTTATGCAATTCACACCGGGGTGCATTGTCAGAAAATCGCCAATCTCGGAGCCTTTCCCTGTGATGCAGCTGATAAGTCCCTTCGGAAAACCAGCTAAGTGAAAGCAGTGCACCATGTGAAGACAAGCCACCGCACCCTGTTCGGAAACAAATTAGTTTCGAACAATTTCTTTTTTACGAAAAATAAGGTTGTAGTAAAAATAAACGACAACGAAAAAATTAAGTTAGCCACAAGAATATATATATATACCTGAGTTGGAGGCTTGAGAACAAGGGAGTTCCCTGCAATAAGAGCCGGTCCGATTTTGGATACAGCAAGGTTTACGGGATAGTTAAAAGGTGGTATAGCCAAAATAACACCGAGTGGAATCTGTACATCAGAACAAAGAAAATCGATAAATGTGATTGTTTTTCTTTTTATAATTTTGAATAAAATTGATCCGATTATATTCGTTGTACTGTACCTTGGATGTGAGACAGTACTTTGTTCTATCGTTTCCCGGAAAACTATCAGACACCAAAAATGCGCCCTGTCCCAAAATTCTAACGCCCTCTTCGGCACAATAAGAGATCAAATCGCCGGATCTAACAACCTGCATTAACAAAATTACATGATTGATCATTAAATTAAACATTCGATATTAGTTAGTACTTGTCGGATAATTAAGGATTGTAAGAAGAAAGAATGTACCTCGGTGACGGCATCTTTGGCTGGCTTTGCGATTTCCTTAATTAAAGCCTCTGCAATAGGGGCTTTGTGCTCTTTAAGGATAGCTGCAGCTTTGTGAAGAAGCTCGGCCCTCTTCCAAAGCGGGGTCCGCGCCCACGACTTTTGTGCTGCTTTCGCTATTTCCATTGCCTTATTCACCTCTTCTTGTGTACAAGCTGATTAATCATGCATAAAGCATGCATATAATTTAGAGGAAATTGTGCATATATATAATTTTCTTGTATATATATACTAAAAATTGTGGTAAATGTGCGATAATCAACGTCTTATCGAGCCAAATTTGTACTCTACACGAACTAGAAAATGCATGAATTTGCCTCCCAATGATGCAATTGTACCCAAAAATAATCTAGTGTTGCGCAATAATTTTCTTACAATGGCCATTCAATTAGACAAGATCCATTTTTCTTACACCTGATTTGCTGGGACCTTTCATTTGGACTGACTCTGATACCACGTTGAATGACCATCTCAACCAAAAGTTTAAGCTATTAGTGAAATGTATCATTTAATATTAATATCTCCAACAAATTTTCATCGGAGTAGTGGAGAAATTTCATGCAAAAAAATCAAATCTCAAGATTAAGTGATCATACATCAACAAATTACAAGAACAACACATATTACATATATCAAAAGAAATCACTTGAAGTGAAGTTAAAATTTTCACCCTCTAAAACACACACTTCTTCACACAGCAGAACAGCATGCAAGGAAACATTATATTATTCACACACGTGCGTAGAACTAAGCCATGATCTGTGTGTGTGTGTGTGTGTGTGTGTGTGTGTGTTTACCTTGAACTTTGTAGTGTGTCTTTCTTGTAGTGGGATTAACAATGGAAACAGATTTCCCAGAAGAAGAAGTAAGCCACTCTCCATCGGCGTAGTATTTGAACACTTCACCATCGATTATCTCACTAAAAACTCCACTCCCCGCCATTGTTTCTCTCTCTAAAAGCTTCTCTCTATCTCTTCAATTCTTTTTTTTTTTTTATTAGTTTTGTTTTATCTTTTCCTGAGAAAGAAGATAAGTAGTGGAGTAAAAACTCTTGCTTCAATAGCTGGTGTTTGGAGTGTCTATAATAAGTACTGTTTTTCTTGTTGGAGAAAGGTGAGCCACATTTCTCCATGGATTATATTTACGATATGGCCACTCATTTTTTTTATCTTTTTCTTTTTCCTTTTTCTTTTTCTTTTTCTTTTTTTTTTTTGTCGTTTTATTGCAAGTCAAGAAATTAGCTCCCATGTTCCTGGTTAGCATTGCGCACGAGGAAAGTATATCCTTTCTTTCTTTTTTTTTTTTTAAATGGAAAAAAGTACAAGACTTCCTTGTTATACTTGTACATTTGAAGCAAAACCACACACTTCTTATTTTTTGCAACTGATTTCATGTTATTTACTCATAATTAAGGAGTAAACTGCAAAAACTATCCATGTATAATCTCGAAATAGCAAAAACCCCCCTGTGATAAATAAACTAGCAAACACCTCCCCTGTGAAATTATTTAAATAGCAAAAACCCCCCTATGGAACTATTTGAGGGTTGACTTGATATAAAAGGACACAAATACCCCTGGAGTCTTGCAATTAATAAATTCTTATATTTTATAAATATTTTAATTATTTTATTTAAAAAATAATCAATTTAGTTGTTTACTATTTTTTTTTAATTTCTAACAAACAAATTAAAAAGAATAAATATACATATAATATGTATATATATAAATACATTTTGAGGGACAATTTTGTCATTTCAAGTCTAAAAAATCAGCTAGGGGGGATTCTGCCTTTGACTAAATTTCATAAGGAGGTTTTTGCTAATTTATTTATCACAGGGGGGTTTCCACTATTTCGAGATAACACAGGGGTAGTATTTGCAGTTTACTCCATAATTAAGTGCATAATATTTTTTTAGAACAAAAATTAAACATTAATATATTACAATTTGGGTACACTGGGTAGAATATATACTAGAATAGCTACTATGATAGTCCTTGTCCAAAACATCATTCAAAAAAGTCGGACATGTATCAAAAACTAAAGAGTCATTGTTCGGCATTGTAGCTGCAAGCTTCGCTAAGTTATCCACTGCACCATTAACCTCTATGTATCTAATGCACAATAATTTTCAGTTTTCACTATATTTCAGTACTTTTATATTAGAGTAAACTACAAAAAGTACCCCTGTGTAATCTCCAAATAGCAAAAACTCCCTGTGATAAATAAATTAGCAAAAACCCCCCTGTGAAATTTAGTCAAAGGCAAAAACCCCCTCGGTGGACTTAAGTGTGGCTCACTCGCGGGTTGCGCGACTGTTACTTAGTTTTTGGACGTGAAATGACGAAATTGACCCTAAAAATGTATTTATATGTATATATATATATTTTCCTTTTAATTTGATTGTTTAGAAATTAAAATATTGTTAAAAAAATAGTAAATAATTAAATTTAAAAATTATTAAAAATTTGTTAATCAAATTAAGTATAGATTTTTTTAAATCATAATAATGGAATTTAAGTTTTCTTTTCATGTAGCGATAATTTAAAATATATACAAAAATTATGTGATAGTAAAAATAAAAATAAATTAAAAACCCCATTGTACCTTTATAATTAAGATATAACAAAAATAAACTAATTAAAATATTTAAAAAATATAAGAATTTATTAATTGCAAAATCCCGGGGGTATTTGTGTCTTTTTATATGAAGTCAACACCCAAATGAGAAATGGGCCGAGTGTGCTATTTAAATAATTTCACATGGGGGCTTTTGCTAGTTTATTTATCATAGGGGGTTTTTCGTTATTTAGAGATTACACAGGGGTACTTTTTGCAGTTTACTCTTTAGATTAAGTACATAATTCGCATTATATTTCATTACTTTTAAACAAAAAATATTGAAAGTGAAGTGGAGAGTTCGATCGGGCATAACTCTCTCAGATCATGCCTCCACTGGAACTGATTCAAGTTAATTGAGATGAAAACCCAACTCATACTGCAACTTTGATTTCTGAGTTTTTCCAAATTCTAACTGCAAAATAGATTGTAAAATCATTTTCTAAGTCGAAAAATTATATGGAGCATGTCGCGATCCAGAAATTTGTAGCGCGCCACATGGTCGTCTTTCCGGAGGGCGGACGATTTTTTTCCAAATTTGTGATTCACATTCCTATAGTGCGCCATAAACTTCTGTTCGAAGCCCTTAAACGCGAGAAAACACAAGTTTGGTAAGTTTGGGACCTTAGAACCATATGATCGAATACTATATATGGCACTTATTGCGACTCATGATAAGGGACTTTTTGACGTTTGGGGAAGGATTGCATAGCGAAGAACACCATTCTCTCAGTTTTTAAGTGTTTGCGATACTCCTAAAAAAATAAAAAGTGTTTGCGCTACTAACTTTTGCTTCTACTTCTCTAAAAATAAGTTGCTCTAAGTTAAAATATAATAATCACCCATAGACCGACTTCTAAAGTTGTTAGAAATTTATTTTTCATAAAATTTGCGAACACCCATAATTTTTTAAAATAAGGATTTATTATTAACGTAACTCATAATTACCTACTTCTATTTTTTTGAACATTGTTACAAACACATCTAAATAAAGCTCTGATTTTTCATTAGTTTTTATTGACACATCACAAAAGGGTGGAAATAATTTATTTATGTGAATTAGTTATGTAAGGAAAAATTTATATTATTATATATGGAATGAAAAAAAACAAATAAACACCATGTCGAAAATAGAAGTGTCTACAGACAAATGAATAAGGTCCCCTCATACCAAAAAATATAGATGGGAAATAAAAAATTGAAATTGAAGTGTCTACAAACAAATGAATAAGGTCCCCTCATACCAAAAAATATAGATGGGAAATAAAAAATTGAAATCACTCACGTTTTATTAATAGATAGGGTAGGACACCTCTGAGTTTAGGTCAAATTACAAAAAAAAAATTCTCGTGCTTGGATAATTACAACCATCCCTCAATTATGTATTGTATTACATGTTCATCCTTAGAGTGTTAAATTTACCTACTGAATATAGTTTTTTTCGTAAGACGGTACATAATTGAATGAGGTACTTGTAATTACTAAAACAAAATAGATTTTTTCGTAATTTGACCATACCTCAGAGGTATGCGTAACTTACCCTTTATAAGTAAATGAAAACATATTGCATTTTTGTCCAAGAGTTTCGAAATAAAAGCAAGTATGGGAAGTAGGAGGCATTATTTGATGAGAGTGTTGGTAGTTGAGTGAATTTTGTGGCTCATATTTAGTTGCATTTTACATTTGCATTTGCATTTGAATTTGCATTTGGCATAAAAAAGTATTGATGCCCATTTTTTAAGCCCATCAAATGATCAACAATTATAGAGGGACCACATCTAATTGACTGTACATCTAATTATAGGACCCACTTGATTTGGACTCATCGATGGATTGTCATTATTTTTCTTACATGCTTGTCTACTATGGTATATTCTAGAATCTCGTTTCATTACCATTACCGGGTTGCAAAGCATTGTGCAACGTTTTGAAACCTGGACTGGCTGGTTCAACCGCGAATTGTTACCTTAATCGATTCGGTTCGGCTAGTTGAACCGTATAATCAAAACTCGACTTCAAATTTTGTTTTTTGGTCCAAAATGGTGCTTTTTTTATAAATTAATTTAAACAAAAGAAAACAAAAAATAAAATGGCTAAAACACCGTCTGTTGACTATCCATTTAAAAAATGAGGAAAACAATTGAAACTAAAATATGGAATGTGTTTTCGTAGGCTTCGACTTCACGACTTCAGCCCTAGCACGATGGTCATAAACGACAAACCTTATTCCCGATCCAAATCCATCATCGTCGCTAACCACAGCAGTGTGATTATCTTTCTTTGTATATTTTTGTTTTCAATTTTTTCAGAATTTTAGTTTAGAGTGTTCAAAATTTAATACGAAAAAAAATGTAAACGAAGGGAAGCAATAACCTTAGGAATGACCCCAGTGGTCAAACAAGAAAAATTTGTACAAGAAAATAAAAGTATAATGTATACTATTTAGAATATCTTTCGATATCGTCTCATTCTAAGTATATTGCATCGGTACCTCTCTGTTACATCGAATTGCTATAAACTTCATTTGTTATTAATACTAGCAAAAAATATTGTATGGTGTAGTTTGAATTTTCAGTAAAATCAATTTCTTATTAGAAAAACTCTTTTAACAATGTCACTGACCTATTAAAAAGGTAGTAATTATTTCAATATTTTAATAAACAACAAAAACTCAGCCGAGTTATAATTTCTTGGGTAAATTACAAACACCCCCCTGATGTATGGTTAAATTACAAAAAACCCCCTCTTGTTTGGATAATTACATATACCCCCCTCAACTATCATTTTTTCTTACCTTTATGGTGCCAAATTCAACATAGTCATCTAGATTCCGTGAAATGTGCTCTAGTTTGTACTCTTTGTGTAAAAAATACAGTTTCCGATGCACCACAAATTGATATATACAAGCTACAAATCACATATTATGGTCATCTTACTTCATAATGTAGAGTTTGAATGGGATAAAACGGGTACAAAAGTGATAATATTCCATATAATCTCGAAGATTCCACTAAATTTGATGAGTTGAGGGGGGTGGTTGTAATTATCCAAACAAGAGGGGTGTTTTTGTAATTTGGTCATACCTCAGTGGGGTGTTTGTAATTTACCCAAATTTCTTCTTACATATGGGCTTCTAAAATCTAAAGCCCATCCCACTACTGTGCAGCTGGCCTTTACCTTTTCCGTCCCACATCGGAAGAATATTATTTGTTCTGTACGTTTATATACTCTAGCATTGCAACTATAATTTGTCCCTTCGGGGACATCCGATAAAATTGGAACGATACAGAGAAGATTAGCATGGCCCCTGCGCAAGGATGACACGCATAAATCGAGAAATGGTCCAAATTTTTTTTTTCAAACCATTTTTCCTTTTTTATTTTTTTTTTAGAACCAAATGTTTTCCTGTTAAATATCCATTTTCAGCTTGATTACAACATGGATTTGAGTTTTTTTTTTCTTTTTTTTGGGAAAGGGATACTGAGGCTAAAAAACAACATGAGAATCAACCCAATATTTCTTCTATTTTGCTATGGATGATTGTTTAATATTCCATCTTTTTTTTTTTTTTTTTTTTTTTTGGAATTTATGAAGTTTGGCAAAACTTTACATGTTGAATGAGTTATTGAGGAACTGGACACATGATTTGGTACAAGGTTGTGGATTATGCAAGTCAGATTTTGTTTACAAGTCTGAAATTTTTCAGGCTTTTTTTTTTCCAACATTTAATTTATGGTAAATACGAAAAAATCCCCGAACTTAGACTATAAATTACAAAAAACATCATCACCTATTCGTAATTACCAAAATCTTCCTATTGCTTCCGTCTTACACCGACCCCTTACGGTATGATTTTTCATGGAATCTTTTTTATTACATGAAATATTCCCCGAAAAAGGCCGACTCTACCCCTGCAGACGCTACATTTCTTTATGGTACTTTTTAAGTACAAAAATTACCCTAAAAGGGATATTTACACAAAACAAAATATTCTTCTTAAATAACTCATTCACAACTTTTTAGTATTACCATCTACTACTCTGAGGGTGATTTTTGTCTTTAGAAACAGCATGAAAGAAATGTCACGTCGGCCAGGGTAATATTACCTGGAATAAAAAAGATTCCGTAAAGAATCACACGGTAAGGGGGTCGGTGTAAGACAGAAACCAGCATCAGGGGGATTTTGGTAATTACGGATAGGTGAGGGTGTTTTTCGTAATTTAACCTCAGTTCAGGGAATTTTCGTAATTTATTCTTTAATTTAAATTAATCAAATATGCAAAAAATTTGGCATTTCTATTAATCTTTTTTGTTTAATGATTATTGGCATTAATATTTTGTTTGCTCCTGCAGTTGTTGGGTTCTACTCCTAAACTTGTAAGAGAAAGTGGAAGTTTTGCACTGTGTGAAAGTTTGCTGCTGTTATTCATCTTCTTTTCATGCAAGTACTAAGTTTCTACTGACAAAGTTCAATTCTTCATTGCAACAAAAATGATAATGATTAATGAGCTTAGGATATGAGTAAAATAATCTACAGTGCAGATAAACCATAATATTCAAAGTAATAGGAGGATGTTATTACGATTACAAGAATCTTCGAACGTGGACGATTAAAAGTCGGATTTATACATTTCTTACCACTAAATACAACATTGCCAGAAAACACATGTGCTTATCTAACTCCAGCGCAAATTCGTCGATATAAGAGCATTCACGCTAAATGCGAGTGAGCAAATGAAGCAATTACATTCCACGCGAGTACATAAAATAAATCGGAGGGGGATACACTTATTATCAATCTGCTCTCCTTAACTTCTCCAAAATATTCTCTTTTGCATTGCTGTTAGTAGCAAATCTAGGATTTTCCTAGTATTAGGAAAGAAACAAGGAATTATTTTACTTTTAGACAATCGAAAGGCAAATCGAAGGAAAAGGTTCGATCTTTTAGTTCTTAGTGCTAATTAATACTCGGTAAATTAAACAAAGTAACCATCTTTGATCCGAAGATTGTGTATTTTCATTCAGTCATTAAATATGTTGCATATTTAAAATCACTGAAGCAATAGATTCAAAAATAGACTTTTTCCAAAAGCCACCGATCTATAAAGATCTCAATATCGTATTCGTCTAGAATTTAAAAAAAAATTGCGTTTTCATTATAGTCTTACAGAACAAAATGAATGAAATACGTTCGTATCGCTGGAAAAGCCAAAGGGTCAACAGGTCAGGATTCTTAAATACATAGAACCTCGATAAATTAATAAACTCGCTTGAATAATAATTTCTTCCGGTCCCGACTCGGTAAAAACGTACTAAATTACTAGTTCGGTAATTCAATATTTTGCTAAATTAATAGATTTTTGTTAGTCCCGACTCTATTAATTTATAGAGAGCCTTTAAGAACCATAGTACAACTAACTTCATATGTTCAACAAGCTGCCAAAATCTTCTTTTATTGGTACAGAATTTGCACCCACATTTTTCTGGTTTGCGCATATAATCAAACACCTTCAGGTGTTTAATCAAACCCCTAAAAAATACTTAATTTCATTACACCAAATTAAAAACAAAAAAAAAAAATAAAAAAATTATCAATTAAAAACAAAATTAATCAAGTAAATAAATACCTAGTCAAGGAATCGGTGCAGCTGTTTCTTGGGAGGAAGAAGAAGAAGGAGGTGGTGGTGAATCTCTGCGAAGCTCCTTAACAACGGCGGCGAGAGATTCCGGGTTGAGACCCGTCTCGCAGAGTGCGATGAGAATCGAAAGCGTGTGGCGGTCGAGGCCGGTTTCGAGAATGTTCGACATGTGAAACGCTAATTCCAGTGAATCTCTTCCAATTCGCGCCGCATTCGGATCCATGATTTAGGGCAAATATATATTTTTTATTTTTGAAGAAATTAATCAAGGAATTGAAATTGCCCACTCTTTCGAACTTGATTTACACGATAGTAGAGAGGAAAAGGAAGAGGTATGGTGGCGGATTTTGAAGTACCGGCGGCGACGGAGCCGAAGACGACGAGGATGGAGGGTGCCGGTTAATCCTACACTATAAATCTTTGTGTTGGGCCGAAATGGGTCCGATTGGCGGATCGAAATTAGCTTTAACATTTTCAAAAAAGAAAATTCATAATAAATAAAATATTGTGAAAATTGGAAAAAAAGCTCGAATTGACTTTTAAAATTAGAAGTCAGATTTTTTTGGTTTTCAGATTGATCGATGCTTCATATAGTCGATTAAGGAAAATCTTTAATTTTTTAATTTTTTTTTTTGTTTTTTAAATTTTTTTTCTATATCAGGTATATTAATCGACTATGATGAAGCATAGTCGATTAAGAATCTGCTACTAAACATAAAAATTCACAATTGCGAAAAAAATGCAAAATCAACTATATTTTACAAAAAACAAAAAATATACAAACATTATCATTGATTTATACACTTGGAATCAATAAACAAAAAATCCAAAAAAAAAAAAAAAAAAAAAAAAATGGAGTCGATCAATTTTAATCGACTGCCAGAACATAGTCGATTAGCTTAATCGACTATTGAACATGTACATAGTCGATTAAGGTTTCAGCCTGCGCGAAATTCTCTACACGCGACGTCCTCCGTCCGATCCAAAAAAAAACTCAAAACCAGCCTCCCCATCGTCACCACACTGCCGGACTTGGTGGGAGTTTTCTTTTCCCCTTGGCTGAAAATTTAAATGCGATAATTACGGTATGGAAGAGAGAAAGGAGAGCATATATCCAGATTTATTTATGAATTACCTGTTCTTAGTGAAGAACTGTACACCTTCACGGCGGCGGCGGAGCAAACCACCACCCGCAGGCCACCACCGACGACTTCAAGCACACCAGCTGTGAGAATGTCTCCCGTCCCCGCATAGTTCCCCATGGGGTTTCTGGGTCAGAACGGCGGCGGCGGTGGAGGGGATGTCGAGCGTGTACGACTGGTTGGCGTCATGTGTCGGCGACTGTGATTGTGAGGGTTTTGAGCGGCGAAGACGATGTGAGGTTGAGTGGTGGAAAGACGAGGGGACGGTGGTGGTCGGTGAGGATCGTCGGTGGTAGCGGTGGACGGCGGGGGAGAGGCAGTGGTGGCGGTGAGAAAAAATGAGAGAGAAATTAGGGTTTCAAAATAGTATATTGACAATTAATGGTATATTTGAAATTATAAAAATAATACTTAGTGGAATACTAACCAAGGGGATTTTCTCTAATTATTTTTGGAAGGGGGTTTTGCTTAACTACATTTCCTAGATGAGGGGGTCTTGCTAATAATCCCTTTATGATATGCATGTTTTGATTGGTAGTTTCTATATATACAAATTAATATTATATATAAAGTTAATAATTATAGTTAATTAATGACATATACAATTATATAAATGATGACATGTTTTTCCTTTATTTTCTTAACCAATCAAATGAACACATGGGATGAAATTAAGGATATGTCATCATTTGAAATTGACAAATGTCAATCAATTAGGCATGAAATTCAATTTTTATATATTATATAGATATATACACATATACATAGGTGTGTGTATTACTACGTGTAGATTAATTATGTAAAATTACATAGTATATTTCATTAGGTGTAGGTTGGGGTGAGTTAGTTGGATCCATTAGCCAGTTCAACCCGTCAAACCAGTTAAAATTGTCTCAATAGAACCAGACAGATGGATTCATCAATAGGAATGTGTCCTTAATGGCTAAGATCAACGGATTTGGATTTAAGACGAGTTTAAATATTTGAAATACCCGTGAAACCCGTCTTAAATGCCAAAGGTTGACCAAATGCATCTTTGAAGTTTATTGTTTAAATGTCATTCTCTTCATTAATAATAGCTCATCTCCTATCCACTAGTCTGCCAGAATTACCATTGAAGAAACCCGCATATTTTGGTTCCTTTGGCCAAAATGGAGATTCAAGAGTGTTTCTCGTAATGCTAACTTTTCAACCCACAATCTCTTTAAATGGGCATTTTCATGTAACTCGAATGGATTTGTCTCCATAGATTCTATTCCTTCGATTTTTTTTTTATTTTTTTTTTTGTGATGGAGGGTTTTCGATTATAGACTCTTTAATTTTCTAATTCTTAATGCAAACGTTTCACTCATCAAAAAAAATAATTGATTATATATAATAACTTTCATAAGTTCAACTTAGGTGAAAATCAAATGGATAAAATTAGCACTTTCAAGAAAAATCATTTTTATTTTTGATGGGAAAATTTGTGAAAGTTGAATCAAGTTTATATATATATATATATGTTATTCATTATATCATAAGTTCAATGTACTATAGAGCCCGTTTCTCGAACGGAAGATCTTAAAACAACAATGGTATTGAACATTTTTTTGTTGAGCAATGAGAAAAGTGTACTGAAAGATCTAACCATGTTAAGAAAAGTGAGGGACGAGATTGATGGTGATTTGAACTTCAACAAGAAACAAGCGACAATTAAATCGAATTTTATAAAGCCTTCATAAATCCATAAAATATGTATTGTACTACGTAATTTAAGAATTATTTATATGCATTATTAATTTATATATTATATAGGGCTTCTTAAAATTTTTGAATGTGTATTCTCTTATAAATTTAGCGAATTATTAATTGGGTCCATTACAGATAAGTCTTATAGAATACTTATTCATAAAGGAGTTCAGATAATAAAAAATCTTTTACAAAAAAGTCCAGACATTATCTAGAGGTGTGTAAAACACTAAAATACTCCCTCACATTTTAATATGCTTCAACTTCATCTTTTAATTCAATTTAACCTCAATTTGACCCCAAATTTCACAGTTATTCAATTTTGACCAAACACTCAATTTTGGTAGAATTTCGCCCGTCGCCGCCGTTGACTTTTTCTTTTCTCCTGCTTTTTCCGCCGGTTTCCGGCGTTGACTTTTTCGATTTTTCTTTTTAATTTTCTTTTCTTCAACATATTTTTACCCGTTTAAACAGTAATATTGTTGTAGTTGACAGTCATATTAACTATATTACTGTTTAACACAGTAATATTAACTATATTATTGTTCAACACAGTAATATTAACTATACTACAGTTTAACACAATAATATTGTTATATTACACTCTATCATAGTAATATTAACACAACAAAAATCACTATAATTGTGTAATATAGTAAAACAAAGGCAAACATATTAAAAAAGCCAAAAATTAATATTGATATGGCTGACAGTAATATTATCGTGTCATCCACAATACAGTAATGTTACCGTCAACCACAATAATATTATTGTGTTTATAATAATATTACAGTAGTAGACATTAATATTATTACGTTAACCCGTCAACAAATCAAACAAAACAAAAAAGCCAAAAAAAAAAAATATTGACGTGGTTGACAGTAATATTATTGTCTGTACAGTAATTTTACTGTCAACGACAGTAATATAATTGTGTTGACTTGTCAATAAATCAAAAAAAAAAAAAGCTAAAAAAATAATATTATTATTGTGGTCGATAGTAATTGTACTGTCAAAGACAGTAAAATTACGTAAATGTACTATCAATGACAGTGCAATTACTGTCAGCGACAGTATAATTACGGTCAACATTCAGCTGGGGCGTCAAAAAAAGGATAAAATTTGTAGGCAATTTTTTTTTTAAAAGCTAACGTCGGAGGCCAACTGTCAAACGCCGGAAACCGGCGGCGGAAAAAGCAAATAGAAAAAAGGCTTGAAAACCAAGAGAAATGAAGAATTATATATTTGGTACGTTTGGTCCTTCAATATTGGGTCGGTTTGTGTGTTGATTTTCATATTTTTAAATTTGTGTGTTCAAGATTGTCTTGGGGTAGTTGGTCCTAGACACGGTCACGGGGCGGGTTGGGTCCGGGTCCGACCCACCGGGTCCGACTTTTAGAGGACCCAAAACCGATCCGTGGGAAGACGGGTCCATCCAGGTCTAAGTCGGGTCCGGATCCAAACCAGTTTTCCTTTTTTTTTGTTTTCTTTTTGCAAATGATTACAAGAAAGAAAAAAAAAATTAAATTGGAACGCGAAAAAACTTAAGATTAATTTTAAATTCAAAAAAAAAAAAAGATTGATTTTAAACACTCAACAGTTTTAGGAAAAAATGAAAAAATTAAGACCTTCAGACATAAACAAAATAAAATGAAAGTTGTGAAGATTGGATTAGTGGTATTCATAAGTGAAAATAATAATTGAGAAATTTTTCAAAATGTCAAAATTTCAAAAAAAAATTCAAAATTCAATCTTTCTTTTAAATTAAATCGTAATTTTTTATATTTTTCAAAATTAAATATATATGCATTTGTTATTAGTGGAGATTTTGTATATTAATAATAGTGAACATGACAATTAATAATTTATTAAACATTAGCATACAATTACTATAATTATTTTATAGTATTATTAATATTTATAGTTATAATTAGTATAACAGTAATTAACTTTGCTTGATTGGTTAGTACTCTCCTAAACCTCTGAAGCCACTTGGGTTCTGAAACTATGATATTCAAAAAGAATTTATAGATGGAGAGTTTTTTCAGGCCAACTATAAAAATATTGAAGATTGGCCAATATTTGAAGAATTTAAAGTACATATTTAAAAAATAATTTGAAGATTTTGAAAATGTTCTAAACTTTAAATGTATCTATAATGGCACGCCATTAAAAAATAGATGGATATCTAAGAATTTTAAGGTGTTTATGTACACGTGTAGTTGACTTGAAACAAAAATTATAAGCTATCATCAAAAACATTTTGATGATAGTCCGAAACTATGACATTCAAAAAGAATTTATAGATGGAGAGTTTTGAAGACCAACTATAAAACTATTGAAGATCGGTGAAGATTTGAAGAATTCAAAGCACATATTTAAAGATTAATTTGAAAATTTTGAAAATGTTCTAAACTTTAAATGTATTTTGCAATATTGGTCAATAGTTTTAGAATACAATTTCTTTTCCTTTTTTTTTTTTAAAAATTTCTAGACTTTTGATACTTACCAAAACGTACCGATATTGTGTTGTAATTTGTCAGTTTTACCAATCCTCATTAGAAGAGTATGTATA